ACTCTTTCCTGCTTATGCAGGGGGTCGGACTCGATGATCTATTGAGGTCCCTTCCGACCCTAACATCTATGAATAAATCCCAGTAGCATTACTTAGCACCCTTCCTGGAAGTCTTGTCTCTGTTGTAAAACATAACAGAACTTAGTTCTATTCTTTTTTTGTTCTGGGGTTCAGGGAAAGTGTGGAGGGGTTTTGAGACTTGTAAAGGAGCTGTGGTTTGCTCTAGCAAAGAGACTATGGCAGGAATAAAAATGTAAGAAAGTCTACAACACATCCTCATGCTATGCCTAGCTTTCATGGATGGTATGAGGATTTTCTAATTTACTATAATTGGCTAGATTTATTCAAGAAACAAAGGGACAAGGTGTTTTGTGTCAGCTGATTTAATTTTCTATACTATTAAGCTTTATTCTAAATGCTTGTTTTAGCAAACAGGACAGCTATGTGTAGGAAAACGCGGATAGCAGCTTGTGATGGTCTGAAGATGAGTGTGTCAGAATTCACCGTTTAGGCTGCCCTAGTTTAATTAGAAATAAATGCAACTAGACAAAAATGACCTGTTTCTTTAAAATGATTTGATGCTGTGTTTTTAGTGATATCAAATCATTCTACATTTGATTCAGATACTGAGGATGCTAGCGAAACTGACCTGGCAAAACACGATGAAGAGGATTATGTAGAAATGAAAGAACAGTAAGTATTCCTCCCCCACCAAAACAAAGTTTAATGGCATCTTTCTTTAAGTTTTTTAACTTGCTAAAAAAGCCAGGGGCAGGTTATTTCTGTCTGGATAGTTCCTAACATAACAGGGCTGTTTAGTTATATTGGACTTATTAAAGGTTCCCTCTGTCTACATGCACAAACTACTTAGCTGTTGCATCCGTGTTCAAACAACTTAAGTGTTTGCTACTGTCCTCCTGGATAGATGTGACTTCCCTGGAGTCATTCATCTCTGCTCTGGACATGAATGGGCCCCCCGTGTGCTTGGCGGCGGACCCAGAAGTGGACTAGAAGCACTTCTGGTCCACTTCCAGGTCCACTGCCAAGCACACAGCGCCGCCCCCCCCCCTTGAGGTATGTAGAAAAAAGATTTAAAGCTGTGTCTATGTCCGAATCTCTCCAAATCAATTCGGAGTGATTAAAGGATCTCCTGATTCAATCCAGATTAAAGGATCTCCTGATTCAATTCAGAACAGATTCTGTTCCCATATAAAACCTTCACTTCCCCTTTAGTTCTATGATAAACCCAAATGGGTTTGGTACAAATCAATAGTCTGGATTATGTTTTCTGTATATTTTTTACTCCAGTGTGTTGAGCTACAGCAGGGGCGGGCAGTTATTTCAGGCAGAGGGTCACTTATTGAGTTTTAGCAAGGCATTGAGGGCTGCATGACAGGCAGCCAGGGGCAAATAAATATAAATTTTCCAAATTTTTTAGGAGCTCTGTGGACCAGGTAGAATGGCCAGGCGGGCCACACCTGGCCTGCGAGCCACATTTTGCCCACCCCGATCTACAGACATCAAGAACAATACAAGACTTATTATGCCCTCTTAGCCTTGGGGGTGCCTCAGTCTTCATGTCTCAGTTCCCTATTTTTAGGATGTGAATGTGTCCCTATCTTGCATAGGCTGCGACTTTAAAGTAAGCCCCCATCAATATACATGGAAGACAAGATACACTTGTGGCAAAATAAACTTTGACCTCCTGCCTTGCAACTCTGTGAATTAACACAGATCTATTCTTCCCATCCTGCATTAAGCACTGGAGAATGCTGCAAATGCATTTAATGAAATAAAGTCTGTTACCAGAATTCCTAAGCTTAGCTTGGTGTTCTATTGCCAAGGGTTCATAATAGAGCAGCTTGCTTCTTGCATTAGCAGTTACCATACCACATCATGTATAAATCCTTGTGTATGCTCCTGTGAGATGCTCCATCCGCCCCACCATCTCTGTTCACAAGCTGTGCCTGGTACCTCGAAGTATATAGGAAAAACATTTAAAGCTGCGTCTATGGCTGAATCACTGATTCTCTGAATCGGCATCTGATCTTCAGATTCAGCTGAATTGAATCGGGACAGTGATCCGAATCAATGCGTCAAATCATTGTCCCCCCAAATTGGGCTGAATTCAAATTGAATAAGGCCTGCTTCGCACACCCCTAATATTTACCTGAAGAGGCGGTGAAATGAACAGTCTTTGTTTGTTCTACTGTTTATATAATGCTGCCCTTTTGTTACAGGATGTATCAGGACAAACTGGCATCACTTAAGAGGCAGTTACAGCAGTTACAGGAAGGTAAGGAGTTTTTTCTGAAATAATAGCAGTTGCCTTACTTTAAAGTGCGTCTTGGAACAAGAACTTGCAGCCATCCTTCAGAATTTGTAAGAGAAGTTTTCTTTAATATTTTTTCCACTACTAGTTTGCTTGCAATTGAATGTGGGATGGGAAAGGGTGAGAAGCGTTGTATTCTCCTGATTTGGGGAGAGCTATGTAAATGTAAAGCTTTGTAGTCCATCTAGGAAAATGCCCTTTAACACAGTGACCACTAGAGAAGTTGGTCTTCTTAGCCACATTCATTTTTCACTGTTATAGTCCAGCTTTTTTACTACTTTTTTTTCCTGAGTGTTGGCCTTTGGCAATGCTGTGCCATTTCAGGGCAGTATTTTTAGGCTGCCCTTGGCATACTGCATGATGCCCCTCAGTTAGGCATGTGCACTAGTGGAAAAAATTCAACCACTTCGTCTTTCTCTGCTCCCCTGCCTTCTCTCCTCTCCCAAATTCCACCCATGCCAGCAAAGTGTAATGCTTCTATTCTGGTTGGTTTCGGGGAAGCAGGTGAGCAGACTTTTATTTAGCCTTTCCCATATAACCGTATAACTATATCTAGCATTTCAAATAGTCTGGGATCTCTAAATAGTAGAGCAAATAAGGTCCTAATAGAATTCTGTGACTAATTTCAATCAGGTACTTTACAAGAATATCAGAAAAGAATGAAAAAACTGGACCAACAGTACAAGGAAAGGATCAGGAATGCAGGTGAGTTGGATTTCATTGTTTTTAAAAAAAGGCATCCAAAGAACCTTTATGGCATTATGGTTACAGATGTACCGATTCATTGCAGAGGCTTCCATTATACCATTGCCAAAGCCCTCAATCAAATAAGGGTAGTTATAATTGTCCCATTGTCATCTTTGGCATACAAAAACATGTTCAGAAGTAGTCATTCATGTGGCATCCGAATACATATAAACTTATCTTCTAGAATAGATTGCAAAAAATGCAATTCTGATGCTATTGGACTGTTTTCCAAAATGTGTTTGACTTATTTTATGTTCAGAACTTTATCTGTTTTTTGAGATGCTATCATGTGACAATATCAGGAACATTGGTATGCAGGGGATGTGAAATGAGGCCTGATTAAGAGCCCAAGTTCGCTGCTTTTATATTTATTATCACAGTCTTGAATAAAAATTCTGGAGTTGCATCCTTTATACAGAGCCCAGTCCTGTTCAGCTGAAGTCAGTAGGAATGTTATTACTGATTTTTCTTAGGAGTAGGGCTGTTCCATTTGTAGGCAATGTGCTTACCTCGCTCTGATGTATGAACTGAATTATATCTTTGAGATGTGCTATAACACATCTTCATTGGTATACAGCAGGGGTGCTCAACCCCTGGCCCACTGGCCAGATTCAGCCCTGGCACTGTTTTTTCTGGCCAGTGGAGCTCTCCCTCCACAGGTCCAAAAACTTAGTGGCATGGGAATGGTGTCACTGCTGCTCTAATCTCAAATTTCTAGACCTGTGGGGAGCCCCATGGGACAAATTAACATTGCCCTTTGCACTGGATTGGGTGGGCAGTGCAGGACCTAATACTGGTATATGGGGTTGGGTGGGAAGGCCTGATCTGCCCTGCTGACCAGCCCCATGCCACTCACCTGGTCTATGGGGCCAAAAGGTCAAGCATCACTAGTATGCAGCACTGGTGCACATCTCATCTGTGCCCATGGGCCAGATTTAGAGCTCAGAGCCGCATCACGTGGCCTGCAATGCTAGAATTTAGCAGCAGTCACATGAATTGCTGCAGCTCCTGGAGTTGCAGCAACCTTTGCTTTTCTCATGAGGAGCTGCTCATGGATTTGGAAGTTTGGTGGAAAGACAGATAGTGGATTTAGATTCATGTGAATCCAAAGGTCTGTCCCGCCCACTTACGTAGGCAAAATATACTGTGTTGCTGCAGAAATAAACTTGAGGAAGCAGCAGCTAGGCCCAGTGAAATTTGTTTAATCCATGGTCCTTCACGTATTGCATTTCTAGCAGTATCAGCTGCATCCTGTAAGTTTTGTTTTAAAAAGTCAGATCTGGTGCAGACTTACTTTAATGGAAACTTAAGCAGTTGGCCCTTTCTTGAGTTTATTTAGGACTGAGAATGGCACTTGGATTGAACAGAAGCAAATCATAAATTGGTTGCTACTCTATGAAGTTTGCTGCCATTTTTCTTCTGAAAACTTACAGAAAGCTCCAATCTGCATTAAATTTTTACAGAAACTTTGACACGGATATGCAGAAATTGACATTGTAGAAATGTAAAATGTGTCTGAATGGCATAAGTATGTACATTGTTTACCTGTCCACCTTTGCTGTATTGAATCATTTAGAGTTACTAAAGAGAGTCATCATGTATCTTTAAAGGGTAGTAAAGTGATACTAATTAGACCTTTGGGTTGTTTGTTTTTTTTAAATCTTGCAGAACTTTTCCTCCAACTGGAAGTAAGTATTCTTTATCATCTTATCTTGTGAAAATAGGAATGGTAATCCTTTTTGAGAGAGCTATGTAGAATTTTCCATTAGGGATGTGTGAAGTTTCGGTCCCTGATTCCATTCGGCTCGATTCAGTGGCTGAATCTCCGAATCCAAATTGAATCAGAGGACCCTTTAATCTCTCCGAATCGAATCGGAGCCCTCCAAATCGATTCGGAGAGATTCGGAAAGATTCGGACATAGAGACAGCTTTAAATGTTTTTTCTACATACCTCTAGGTAGCAGGGTTTGTGAATGCTGAGATGCTGGGGCGCATGGTGTGTCTCACAGCACAGGGGGCTCCCCAGCACGTTCAGCAACAGACCTGGAAGTGGACCAGAAGCACTTCCGGTTCGTTTCCAGGTCTGCCGGTGACTGGTGCCTCCTGGGTCTGGGAGGAGGGTGGGGCAAATGGGGTTGCCTCTGTGGCTGAGCCAGGGAGGCACGGGGGGCCCTCTCAGCACGCTTCCCGGTGGATCCAGAAGCGGACCGGAAGTGCTTTTGGTCTGCTGCCGACCACGCTGGGGAGTCCCCATGCTTCTGTGGGACACTCCATGTGCCCCAGCATCTCAGTATTCATGAGCCGCACCTGCTACCTCAAGGTATGTAGAATAAACTTTTAAAGCTGTGTCTATGTCCAAATTGCTGATTCTCTGAATTGGTGTTGAATCTTCAGATTCAAGTTCAGCCAAATTGAATCGGGACAGTGATCCATAGTATCATAGTAGCTAGGGTCAGGAGGGACGTGAGCAGATCATCTAGCCTGATCCCCTGCCACAGACAGGAATGAATGCTGGGTTCACAAGACCCCAGACAGGTGATCATCCAACCTCCTCTTGAATTTGCCCAAGGTAGGGGTGAGGACCACTTCCCTGGGAAGTTGGTTGCAGATTTTGGCCACCCTAACTGTAAAAATATTGCCTTCTGATCTCCAACCTAAACCTATTCTCCATCAGCTTATTACCATTGTTCCTTGTCACCCCAGGTGGTGCTGGGGAGAAAAGGGCTCTGCCTATTTGCTGTTGATCTTCCCTGATGAGTTTGTAGGCAGCCATCAGGTCCCCCCTCAGCCTCCTCTTGCTGAGGCTGAACAGGTTCAGGTCCCTCAGTCTCTCCTCGTAGGGCCTGTCCTGCTGCCCTCTCACCAAGTGGGTGGCCCTCCTCTGACCCCTCTCCAGGCTGGCCACATCTCTTTTGAAGTGCGGTGCCCAGTACTGGACGCTGTACTCCAATTGCTGCCTGACCAAAGTGGCATAGAGGGGGAGTATCACCTCTGTGGACCGGCTTGAGATGCACCTTTGGATGCATGACAAGGTATGGCTGGCCTTGCTGGCTGTGGTCTGGCATTGGCGGCTCATGTTCATCTTGGAGTCAGTAATGACTCCAAGATCCCTTTCCGCCTCTGTGCTTTCAAGAAGGAACTCCCCAGCTTGTATGTATGCTGTGGATTCTTTCTCCCAAGGTGCAGCACCCTACATTTGTCTACATTGAACCCCATCCTATTCTCGTCTGCCCACTTTTGTAGTTTGCAGCCTCTTGCTCCCTTCAAATGTGTCCACCTCGCCCCACATCTTAGTGTCATCAGCAGACTTGGACAGTGTGCTTTCTACCCCTCGTCCAAGTCGTTGATGAAGATGTTAAACAGTGTGGGCCCAAGGACCAAGCCCTGGGGTGCCCCACTACTCACATCTCGCCAGGTTGAGTGCAACCCATCCACCACTACTTTCTGGGTGCGCCCCATCAGCCAATTTTTTTACCCATCCAACTGTGCAGGCATCAATGCCACAGTCGCTTAATTTATTGATGAGGATGGTGTGAGAGACAATGTCAAAGGCCTTCTTAAAGTCTGGAAAGACTATGTCCACGGCGACACCATCATCCAAGGATTTAGTTACTTGGTCATAAAAGGCAATCAGGTTGGTCAGGCAGGACCTGCCTTTGATGAGCCCATGCTGATTGCCCCTGAGCATGATCTCCCCTGCAGGCCCCCCACAGATGTGCTCCTTGATGATTCTCTCTAAGATCTTCTCAAGCACCGAGGTGAGGCTTACAGGCCTATAGTTACTTGGGTCCTCCTTTCTCCCTTTCTTGAAAACTGGGACCACATTAGCCAGATTCCAGTCCCCTGGCACCTGGCCAGGTGACCATGAATGCTCATACAGCTGGGCCAAGGGCTCCGCAATGACCCCTGCCAGCTCCCTCAACACCCTTGGGTGGAGGGCATCTGGACCTGCAGATTTAAAAATATCTAGCCCTTCCAGAAGATCCCTAACTACATCTGCACTGACTAAAGGCCTGACAGAGCTATCCCCAAGATTGTCCCTACCTCTGGTAGTTGGGATATCCTGGTCCCTGTTCAAGAAAACAGAGGTAAAGAAACTGTTAAAAATATCAGATTTCTTGTCTGGCATAGCCAAATCAACAAATCAAATTGCTGTCCCTGATTCAGGCTGAATCCGAATTGAATAGGGCCCACTTTGCACACCCCTATTTTCCATCATTTAAAATTGGATACTGTACTGTATCTCACCTATAAACTTCTCTTTAACGTTACTTTGGAGTAGTTGCTGAACACTATTTTTTTTTTTTAATTTTAAGACTGAACCACAAAAAAACCATAAATAGTCCTTTAAGCTTATGAGTGACTACCAAAAAACCTTTTTTCTTAATTGTAAACTATTTCTGTTTTGAGGATAGTTGGTTAGAGCTTTGAGATATTAGGAAGCATAAATGAAAATTGTTTTTAACGCTGATCACACTGAGCTCTCTGCTTAGTTTTACATATTTTCATTTGATCATTTAAATGCTGGCACACTTTAGAAATATAACGTATCCATACTCTGGGATATGGCAGCCAAATAAACATCTTTTGTTAGCATCAGCCCCCTTTTCAGCTGCCATATACCTCCTGATGTTGTTGCTTTTGTTTCTTACCCATTACTGTTTTCTTGTTGGCTTACCTTAGACAGAGCAGGTAGAGAGAAACTATATCAAGGAGAAGAAGGCTGCAGTGAAGGAGTTTGAAGATAAGAAAATTGAGCTGAAGGAAAATCTGATTGCTGAGTTAGAAGAGAAAAAGAAGATGATTGAGAATGAAAAGCTAACCATGGAGCTAACAGGAGGTAAAACAAAATAAGAATTTGTCGTTCTGCATTTTCTTTAAGTCGGTTTCAAAGTAGTGAAGCCAGTACACTATGGGTAGGCAGAATGTTGGTTTTTAAGTTCTCTACATGTTTGTTTTTAGAACACTAATTCTTGGCTTTTTAGTGGGCAAAGTATTTCAGAGTAAAGGTCCTTGGTCTGGGCCAGCATGGCCAACATGTAAATTAAGAAGGAATGAAAAATAAGATACTGTGTTCTAATAGATTCTTTTTTCCTTCAAAAAAAGAAGACCTAAACACTTTCAAGGAAACTTAATTTCTGTTTCGTGGTCTTTGATCAGCTACTATGATTCTTAACCTTGTTAGTTTTAGTATTTTTAAACTAATTGGATTATATGGCTTAATTTTAAGGGATTCTGTAGGCACTCTTGAACATTACCTCTGTGGTCTTAAACTTCTCTATTGGAAGCGCATAGAATTGGTTCTGGAACATGTTCCAGCGCTGTGCCATGTGTTCCTACTAGTGCTGTTGTACTATTTCATGGCATAGTCACCTTGTAACTTCATCTAAAGAAGCTATTTAGGTAGAAGTCTAGGGATTACTTGATTAAAAATCATTTGGGAACATCACAGAAGAGAATTTTTTTAATGGCTTTCACCATTTTAGTGGGTGAAATGGTACATAAATTATTGCAAGTGTTACTAGGGCACTGTATGGCATCCATGTCAATTTCTGTACCGGGGTGAGAAGTGGTGGTGGTGGTTTTGTAGTGAGCCTGTGCCATTTTTATACTTGCCTGGTCAAAATTCTTTCCTGTCATCTCTGAAAGAAGCACGTGAAACTTATATTTCAGTAGCAGGACTTATGCAATAATCAGAGATCAGAACGTATAGAGAGGAATAGTGACTTTTTCAGCCTGTGTACAAAAGGCAGCAGGATGCAGTTTAAAAAAAAAAAAAAAAAAAAAGGCTCTGGGGCAATAATGTTTTCTTTCTTTTTAAATTAAAATATGCTTACCTGTGTTATGTCTCCCAAGAATTATTTCTTTTGCCTTCGATGTACTGCTTTATCAGTTATACTCTGGAGAGATGCTCTTTTATTTTAACCATTAGCATACAATGCAAATTATTTGCAAGCTGTCTGATCTGACAGACTGTCTGCTAATAGTGTACGGTATAGGTATGCAGACCACAGCTTCCTTACTTGAATACTTATTTCAATAGCGCTCACATGCCACAAGCAGCAGTAAAGTATGTCTTAAAACAGTGGTTTTTGCAAGTTAGAATGTACTAAATAAGAAGCATAATGATTATTTTCTCTAAATGTTAGAGGTGCGCTGATAAAGATTTTTTGGGCCGATACCTATAGCCAATTATTGACTAGCCATATCGGCTTATATTGATACGATTGCCAATATGCAGCATAGCAGCTTGGAGAGCAGCATCCTCCTGGTAAGTCTGTTGTGGGGTGGGGGGGAAGGAGCATGGCAGGGGGCAGATTGAGGCCCCTGTGGTGAGGGAGGGCGTGGGGGTGGGGCAGGTGATGCCAAGCTGGAGGGGGGGAGGGGGCAGGCTG